TAGAGTTTATGTTTCTTTTCAGTTAATGTCAATCAATTGGTTGCCAACCTCCAGGTGGTGGTTGGAGATCTGGGATTACTACTGCTCTCCAGGCAACAGAAAGAATGGCAGCTTTGGAAAGTGATCTCTATGGCATTATACCCCACTGAAGTCCCTCCCCTCCCCAAACCCCGCCCTCCTCAGGCTCTACCCCCCAAATCTCCAAGTTTTCCCCAACTCAGAACTGGCAACCTTATCAATCAATTAGTAGTGCACTGAACAAGGATGAATTTAAGGTTGCCAGTCTCTAGATGGGGCCTAGAGAGGCCCCAGAATTAAAACTGATCTCCAGACTCCAGAGATTAGTTACCCTGGAGAATTCCCCTAGCTAAATTATCTGCCACAAGGTGGCATACCCTGTTTTTAAATTCAATTTACTTTTAGTAACTTGATTGCAGTACCTCGTAATTGCTTGCAGGATTCAGAGTCAGACAGTCTTGCTTACCTGCTGACTTGCAACGTTGAACAGAGCTCACTAGGCAGGTCTGCCAGCTCAAACAGAGCTTTATTTTTATTTTATTTTACTTTTGCTGTCTGCCCGGTATTACAAATATGAGTGAGCATGTCATCCAGACATGTCACAGCATGTGACTCATAGGTTGCATTTGACTTAGTGGGTTACAAGTTGTACTGGCTTGTTTGAAATATTACTAAGTTTGTCTCTCTGATCGCTTTAGAAAACAACACCCATACTATTTGGAACTGAATTAAATAATGTGAGTAATTAACAGTAATTTACAAGTCCCTGCTTAAAGATGCATCGCCAAATCTGATAAGAACAAAAGCTTGCTCCACAAGAAGGTTTACCTTCTAGGCCAGCCCCACCCAATGCTCTGAGCTTAGCCAAATGAATCCTCAGTGTAACTCCTGACGGGTTCTCCAAGGGCAGTTACTTTCTCACCACTTCCCCCATCTCATAATGAGAAATGTACATTTGTATAAGTGTAGGGTTCAAATGTGGATATCACAAATCTCATCTACAGTAATCTCCGCAACATCTGAAGCACCAAAATTAATGTCATAGGTCGTTTCCACACTTGGATCTCATCCCTGGTTTTATCAGAATTCAACTTGCAGCACAATACCTTGCATTTATCCCTGGTTATAACAGCATCCCTTTATCCGAGTACAAGTGTGGGGCAAAACCAGGGTGACCTCAATGTAATGTGGAAACAAAAAATACCCCGAGATAATTACAGGGGTGAACTCATGTGTAGTGTAGAATGTAAGTTTGGGGACAGGGTTGAACCAAGATTTAAGGTTTAGTGTGGAAAGGACCATAGACAGAGGAGATGTTTTTATTTTATTGTTTTCTTAGGTATCAGTCTCTCTGATCAGCCAAATAGGCTCCTAACACAGCTGCCTTCCTAAAGTTACCACAGCTATTAGCAACAGTTTACAAGTCATACTGCTCATGCAAAGAGATCACATTTATGAGAAAGAAAATGGCTGAAAATTGCCAAATGTTGCATCCAAAAATTCTCCTCAAATCTGGGGGACAAAACAACTCCCTGCCTTCCCGTGGAAACTTTTACATAGCCAAATCAAAGGCCAGTTTACAAATTCTGCAGAACACACTTCTAATGATGAAGAAAAATAAGTTAATTTCTTTGGGGGGGGGGAGGAAGAGAGAGAGAGAGAGGGAGGGAGGGAGGGAGAGAGAAAGAATTTATTCTGGGAGATTTATAAAGGGTCTCCAGGACAAAACAGTAGCCTGGCAGAAAGGAACAATGAAATTATTCCAGGCGCTTTAACATTTGTTTTTCTACTCACTGCTTCAACGGTTGTTCACATATATTTTTCATGTTTCATTATTTGTAATCACTTCAAGGAACTGACATGGGCCAAAAGATGGGGGCAGAAATTCAGAAATAAACAAGCCGGAACCCAGACTTGTAGAACTACCAGCTGAAAACCAGAAGGGCAACAAGGTGGTAGAGCACGGAGAAAGGAAAAGTTAAGGGGAAAACATGATGAGTGGAAGGAGAGATGTAAGTTAAGGCGTGAAAGTGACAGCATGGGATTCAAATTAGGAACAGAGAGTGGGGTAATGAGGGCAGGGAAGCAGAAGGGGAAGGCAGCACTTGCAGCTGTGTTTTGACTAGACTGAGGTTAAAAATGTCAAGCAAGATAAAGCTCATATTAACCAGAGTCAGAAATAATTGACTGGTACTGGGACAACAATCTGCCAGTCCACATTTGCTTTGTTGAAATGCACCACAATCAATTCTTTTAGGCCAGATATTAAATCAAACTTCCATACATTTAGATTTCCATTTCAAAATACAAATATCAATTTGCAGAACCAGGGTCATTAGCAGACAACTGAAGGGTATTTTACCTCCTTCCTCAGAATCAGTATCTGAATTTCTGATGTTGTCAACGTAGTTCAGAGTTTATCAAATGTTGTTAATAATACAAGGCACAATGTACCTGAAGCTCTTGGCGTCCTACTGAGTTCAGTGACAAAGTTGAACATATGCTTAACTCTCTCCCATGGATATCAATAGAGCTTGAAAATGTACAGGTTTGTTCAATATGACCCAGAACCTTTGAGATTCAAAATTACATTAGGCATTACAGTTGGGTTGTATGAAGTTGTTTTCATATTCTTCCACCCACCCACCCACACACACACACACACACACACACACTGTTTTTGAAGGAGATCAAGATGGGTACCCGTGTTAGTCTGTCTGTAGCAGTAGAAAAGAGCAAGAGTCTAGTAGCACTTTAAAGACTAACAAAATATGTGGCAGGGTATGAGCTTTCGTGAGTCACTGAAGAAGTGACGTGAGGTGACTCATGAAAGCTCTTTTCTACTGTTTTTGAAGTGACCACAAGATGGTGCACTTTAGCATGTGTCTTCAAAAGAGGTTTTCTTCAGCAATCAGACTATAACAACACTATATTAAAATTACTTTGCTTTCAAAAATGCTTTAGGCATACTGTTTTAGTGGACTAAGAATGCAAGGAAAGGAAAAGAGGCAGACGACCAGGCATTCTGCACAAAATAACAGCTATTCTTATCAGATTATCTCATGCCAAATATATAGATATAAATACTAGTACAAGAGCCATAAAATCATATATTGTTTTATTTGTTACATTTTTTACAAGATCTCTCTCTGCAGTAAAGAAAAACATGCCTTCTTATGAAGTTAGGGTCTAGCCTGGGGGATTAATCTACATTACAACTGTGATAAATTTACTGTGCTTGTTTAAAAAACAGGGAACTCAGTTTGAATAGGGAAATGCAGTGAAGGGTGCTAGTCAAACAAGAACAACACATTTAAAATAATAATTGAAATCATAAATCATAACTGAATTCTTATAAATTACATAACACCAGAGGAAACAGTCCAAAAGTGTAGGATTGCTGTCCGATTTCTGGTTTAAAATTCATATTACTGCGATTGCAGCAGTTTTCCTGGAACAAATAAAAAAGATCATGTTGAATGTCTTACTGAAAGCCAGCCTAGTGATGAACACAGATGTCATGCCAACGTGTCTAATATAAATGGTAGCCAAGAACAAGAGTCACTTCCTGTACTGAAGATGACTGTCAGGTATTGACCATAGAGAAGACGCCAAGCAGTGTTATGTCCAGATGAACTGAACTCAGTGACAATAAGAAAATGGTCACATCCCACCTCTTCTTGCATCCACATCAATTTATTTCTTGCTGGGCCAAGATTTCTCTCACTTTAGTTTGTTGATCAGTACACATAGGTTTCCCTGTTGGGGCAAACAATGGTTCCTTGGGCAGTTTTAGGTTAGGATAACAACATGGGAGTGAGGCTTATGCCCAATATCCCCCCGCAATGCGTTCATAATCCAAACTGGGCCTATGCACATCTAGAAATTAAGTCCCCAGCACAGAACTCCCAAAGCATGTCTGATTGGCAAGGCCAGTGCAGACATGTGGGGAACACAAAGGCCAAGTTCAGACTGGCAGTTTGAAGCGGGAGGGAGTCGTGGCAAAAAAGACCCAGAACAAAGTGTTCCGGGTTTTCCCGGTCATACTGCACCGACTGATGTGGGAGCCTACTGTGGAGGAGGCGCAAGGGAGGGTTCACACTATTGGCCTGCCCCTGGCAGAGGCAGGGCTGTAAGGCACGGCTTTCTTTTTGGTAATCTGGAGATATGTGCTTATCCGCATAAGCGCACAAGAAAAACGCAGTTTATGGTGTTCACACTTTGTTGGTGCGGGATGGAGGCAGGATAATCACGCTTTCCAGGGTTTGATACCACTTTCACCAGGTATCTTTTAAATGTGGGAGCGAAGCATTACAAGACGGGTTGAGTACGGCTGGGGAACGCCAGACAGATGTGCCTGTGTGAACGGCCCCTTTAATCTGGTCGTGGAACATTTCTGAAACGTGCCTATATCGGGGCAAACTGCCAGTTGTTAGCCACCTTGGCAGCCCTTGTAAGGACTGAAAGGCAGGATATAAATTTTGTAAATAAAGAAATAAATCTAGTATAAAATAAAGGCACAGTGCCTGAAAATAGTAAATGCAGAAAAGAAGCATGCTTCAAGGTGATATTAAACTGGAAGGTATTTCCGCTTGTAACGAGAGAGAGAATCTACTGCAGTTCACGAACACGTGAAGCTGCCCTCTACTGAGTCAGATCATTGATCTCTCATAGTCAGTACTGTCTGCTTTGATTGGAAGCAAACCAGGGTCTCAGGCTGAGATCTTTCACATCACCTATCTGAGATGGTGCCATGGTGTGAGCTCTAGTCTTGAGCTCCCTCTGTTAGCTTTTTCTTTTAATGATTTTTAGTGAACCTGGACATTTTTTAAGTGACTCCTGGCTATTTTGAGGATAAACCGTGATACTTCTAAACTAGATGGTTGTCCTTGACTTCATTGGAAAACAAAGACCTGAATATTAGAGAATATTAATGAAACAACTCTTAATGCTCAACGGATCTTGGATGCCTGGGCTTATCGATGCCGACAGAGTCCAGGGCAGGCCAGTGGCACTATGAGGTGGAGGTGACCCTGGGACTGTCTCAGGGCTTGAGAGTGACCAGCCAGCCAGACCTGAACTCCCTCAACTGTGGTTAGAATGTGGAGTTGTCTGGGACTGATATTTTTCATGTGGATAGAACAACTTCTGCTGTTAATACAGGTCATGAATTGCCCCTGCGGGGTAAAAGTCAGGACAATTATTTTGCTTGTTTTTTAATCTGCGACCTGTTAAATCTAGCTTCCACCCATTTTTAGGTAGGGTTAAGCTAGAAAAGTCAGCTATAGAAGTGCTTTATTTCTCCAGTCCTTGGTCCTGAAGGTGCTTTGTATAAATTGGATTTATTGTAACTGTCATTTTATTCATAGGGGGCTGTAAGGGGGAGGGAGCAGAATAGCTAAGGGATTGTTAGAGGTTAGGATTTTCAGTCAGTTAATTAGTCAGCACTGTTTTGTATTGTTCTATTAGTCAGGTTTAGTGAGTTAGGTTAGGGCACTAATGCATGGAGGTTTGTTGGGTGAGTGGTGGTGGATGAGATCCAGTGGGGTTGTGGATCCCAGTAATTGGGGGACACAGGAGGTATGGTGCTGGGATAAGGTACTATAAGGGAAGGAGACAGAGATATGGATATGCTCGGCCGCCTTCCAACCTTTGTCCCATCCCAGATGCTAGTTCCATTCCTTGCCAATGTGGGGATATGTGGGACAGCCTTACAGTGGTTCATCTAATTTCTCCATGGTTTGGGACAGAGGGTGGCACTTGGGGAGAGAGTTTCTTTCTTTAAAAAAAATTTCGAAAATTTCAAAAGAGAGAGTTTCACTGCATTACCCTTTGGTATGCGGCGTCTCACAAGGGGCAATTCTCTTCCACGTGCTATTTAACATCTATATGCACCTTCTTGGAGTTTCAGACTGGATTGCCATCAATATACTGATGACACCCAGTTGTATCTGTTGTTGGATGGACAGCCAGTCTCTGCCCCAGATAGTTTGGCTAAGGGTTTGGAGCCCATGGCTGAGTGGCTAAAACAGAGCTGGATGAAGCTAAATCTAGCAAAGACAGAGGTTCTGTGCCTGGGCAGCGGGGGGGGGGGCTCCAACTCGCAGCTCTCAATGGGGTGCTGCTAACACCAGCACCAACAGTGAAGAGTTTGGGTGTGACTTTGGATGCCGCGCTATCAATAGAGGGCCAAGTTATGAATGTTGCCAGGTCGGCATTTTTCCATCTTTGCCAGGTCAGGCAACTGGATCCCTACCCCCCCCCCCATGACCTAGCCACAGTGATCTATGCAATGGTCACCTCCAGGTTGGACTACTGTAACTCGCTTTACACTGGACTTCCCTTGAGACTGATCTGGAAGCTTCAGGTGGTCCAGAATGTGGCAGTGTGTGTTCTCACAGGGACACCATTGACAGCACACATACAACCGGTGCTCCACCAGTTGCACTGGCTTCCAGTTGAATACTAGGTCAGGTTCAAGGTGTTGCTTCTAACCTTTAAAGCCCTTTGCGGTCTGGGACCAACATACCATCAGGACTGTCTCTCCCAATACATCCCCAAAAGTGCATTGCTCTCTACAGATCAACATCTACTGGTGATCCCCGGCCTGAAATATGCCCACCTAGCCTCGACCAGGGCCAGAGCTTTCTCAGAGCTGGCCCCAGCCTGGTAGAACAGTCTCCCAAGTGAGATCCGGGCTCTGCAGGACTTTATGAAGTTCTGCAGAGCCTAAAAAATGGAGATGTTCCACCAGGCCTATGGTTGAGGTGGCGGGAACCCAAACTGTATTGGCCTCCCCCTGCTCTGCTCTGCTTTATTCCGTCTGCATTGTTTCCATCTGGCACTGATCTTGTCTGCCCGCCCCCCCCGCTTTAGTTACATCTATCTGTACACACATAGGGAGCCCAGGAGTAGATGTGTTATTGGTGCCATCGTGGACTATTAGTGTAGTATAACTTGAGATATTGGGTTCTAAATTGTTTATTATGTTTTAATTGGTTGGTATTACATTGTGTATATGTTGTTGTAATTGGCCCTGAGCCTGCTTGCGGGGAAGCGTAGGCTAGAAACCTAAATAAATAAATAATATGCTTAAGTAGGCAACATTTACCTATCTCTACAAAAAATGCATAGAACATCTAGTGCAGATGGATATGAGGAGGAAAAAACATCCCACTTCTAGTTTTGTCTTTCAGCCTATGAATGTCATTCCTCACCCCTTAAGCAACAGCTACTGCCTGAAAGCACTGGGTATTCTGCCAAATCACAGTGTTGCAGAACTGCAGTAACTCAGTAGTGCTTGCATATAGATTCTGTCATAAAGCATGATGGTTGCTGATATAACATGGCAGCAGAGGGATTTTAATCTCCATTTTATGTCTGATTCAGATAACTATTTTTGACTGATTTAGTAAATAAAGTAGGTTGTATCCAGCCAGCCTTTTCACTAAACCTCATCCAGTTCCCCTCCTTACTACAAGCTCCTGTCCATCATGGCTTTTGTCCATGCAGGTCCCACAATCCCCAGCATTGCCTTTTTTGTTGTTGTCAAAGGGGAACCTCTCCTTCCCTGGGGAAACACTGGCTGGATCCAACTGAACAGTTTTTGCCCAGTGTTTATGAAAGTAAGCTCATATAAGGAAAATTAATGCCAAATAAATATCTCATTCTGGTGCTGAAGAAAGGAAATATGTTACAGAACAGGCAGGAAGGAGCACTCAGAATGACTGTATGCAATATTTTTTTACAGGGAACAATCACCGCGTTTGTCCTTTCCCTGATCTCCTCTCATGATGAATCTTTCTTGTGAATATGCCCATCACACAGTCACATATATGTGAAGGATATTAGTTTTCAGTTGTTCCTCAGGACGTGGTTAAATATAAACCTGATTTCATGAGGGAATTCTCACTGGAATATTTAACTACAGATGGAAGAAAAATAACATTGGTTCCTCCTCTGGTTCCCCCCCCCCCCCATGGCACATCAGTTCTTCCAGTTTACCGAAGATACAACCATATATTTTCCTCTTTCTCCTATGGGGCCAGATGGTGGTGTGGGGGGACGGGACCTCTGCCTCTGTCTTCCGTGCCTGCCATCTCCCTGTAGATACAAGTGATTTTTTTGCTTTTCTTCTAAAACGATTCTAATTAACTGCAATTGCTCTGGCAAAGAGCACCCTAACCGGCAAAGAGACCCACCCAAGTCAGTAATCTACCAGTGTGACTAGGGAAATGCTATTCACAGAAAAGCCAGTCAGGGATAATGCTGCGTGGCACAGACATGAGCTAAGTGTTCTGGGTGGACGATGGCAGGGTTGCCAACTCTGGACTGGGAGATACCTGGAGGTTTAAGGGTTGAGCCTGGGGAGGGCAGGGTTTGGAGAGAGACCTCAGTGGGGTGTGATGCCACTCTCCAGAGCAGCCATTTTCTCCATGGGAACTGATCTCTATTGTCTGGAGATGAGTAGTAATTCTGGGAGATCTCCAGGGCCCACGGCAGGGTTGGCAACCCTGGATGATGTGCTTGTTAGGCATGTATCTCCTGAGTAATTTCCTGCCCTTGCTGCTCCTCCACTGTCTCTTGGTATTCCCAAGAAATGGATATTTAAAAGCGTGTGTGAGAAAATGGAAACAGAAAGTACAGTTTCAGTCATCCTGATGCCAGGAGTTGCCCAATCAATTTGTATCCAGATGTATTTATTTAGGAGATTTCTACAAACATTTCATTTGTGTTACCAAGGTATGCTCAGAATGGACTTTGATTGCTTACTCTGCAAAGGCACATCTCTTCCATTGGCCCACAAAGGATCATATAAAATCCCTCCCTTCCTGCTCGATACATGTTTTCCAAAGGTCATGATAAACGTTTTTGTTGACATCCTACAGTTTAAATAGTGAGTGCTAATGTTCAGCTAACTAGTGGTAAGATAATCACCTAGTTTCCATTTGATGTACATGTTACACCAACCCAGCCATAAAGAGATTCAAGGGGGGAAACCAAATAAGGAGCTAAGGAACCATCAGGACTGGAAATGCACAAGGCATTTAAAAAAAATTCTATGTAGATGCAAGTCAGATAGCAGACTGTGAGGGAAAATGAATAGGGAGTCTGGCAAAAAAAGGTAACAATTTCCAGAACACTTTTTTGTATACCCATTAGGGCTGACAAGTGGGGGCAGGTGGCGGGTAAACCTCCGCTTCGGAGGCCCGATTTCTGCCGCCGCGGAATCGGGCCCCGGGGGGAACTCCGCCCCCCGAAGTGCAGCATGGCTGCGTCACCAGAGGTGACGCAACCACGTCAATTACATTGGGGGCGTGGTCCCGATCATCGGAGGGAAAACTCTATGGTTTTCCCTCTGACGATTGGGGCCACGCCTTCAACGTGATCGACGGCACGCGTCACTTCTGGAGATCTGCTGGCGGCGTGCATGCTTCACGCATCGAAGGACAGCTCCCAGAGCCCGGCTGAGGCTCCCCGCCGGTAAGATATTTTGACTTGGCAACCCTAATACCCATTCTAATCCTTAAAAGCTTGACTAGGGGAAGGAGATACACTGCTCCACAAATAGACTTTTACTCACTAAGTATTTGGTTTCAACATTAAACATTAATGGTTTTCAAGCATGTTCTTAGAAATCCTGGGGTGCCTTGAAAGCTTTTCAGAGTTCCTGATGAGAAGATCAGTAAGGTGGACAAGCTTTCCTGAAAGACAGCTTGTCTGCCAATATCACAGATCTTCCACAGCAGGGAGCATTTTGCTTATGTTATGGTACAGTCTTAGGGCCTAAGTACATATTGGGCTGTTTAAGGGTCCAACTCGGCTCCTGTCAAGCAGGTGTATGCTGTGAGTTCCCTGCTGAAAATTAGCTTCTCAGGCCCATGGAGGACTGACTTGGATCAGGGCCACAGCATGTGGGGAGAGGGAACTTAAACCCCCCATCTGTTTTCCTGACCCCAGGAAACCACTGTTTGCCCTGTTGGGAAAACGTATATGCACATTGGTACATGCAAATTTTCCCACTGGGCAAATAAGGGCTCCATGGCCATTTCAGGTCAGGAAAACAACATGAGGGTGAAGGCTTAAGCTCCATC